ACTACGTCATCTGGCCTGTGGGCGTGAAGAACGGACTAGCTCTGTCGGCGCCCGCATCATCAGAAAACGGGGGTGCGATCCAAGTCGACAACTGGGGGAAGCTAAACTACACGCCGGCCCAGGGATTTCGCGGGTGGGACAGCTTCCTGTACACGGTCGAGAATGCTAGCGGCCTAACCGACACCGCGACTGTCACCCTCTGGGTCGGCGCGGAACGGCCGCAGAAACCGCTCGACTACGAGGTAGCGGCGCCAGAGATGCAATCCTCCCGCCAACGGGCACTTTCGGGTCGCCCCTCCAAGCCGCTTGCCGCACCGCCCGCGGCGTCCCAAAACGAACGGACCCTGCTGCTCGTCGAGGAGGCGTTCGCGACTGTCGGGGCGACAGAAACCGAGGTCGGCGCCGCCCGGTCCGCTGAATCGGAGCTCCCTAGCGAAGAGAACCAAGACCCCGCCGATCGGGACGCGGTGCGGCGACAGGCGTTCCGCAGCGTCTTGCGCAATAGCCTTTCAAGGCCGTAAGGCGCCGAGAGGCATCGTTGTCGCTCTTATTCGGCTTGGCTCCGAAGGGCCCCCCTGCGCCGGACAGTGGGATTTGCTAGGCTACTGGGACTGCCCAAGCAATCTCGGCGCCCGTCTATGAAGCTCGCGATCCTCCATTTCCACCTGAACCGCGGTGGGGTCTCCCAAGCGATCCTTAACCACCTTCACGCCCTGGCCACGCTGCCCGATAACCAGCGACCAGACGAAGTGGCGTTGCTATACAGCGGCCGCAAGGAAGATTGGCCGGCATCGGTCTGGCGTAGAAGCGAATGGGAGCACAGTCCTCCGTTCGACGTCCGGCTCCTGGCGATCCCGGAGCTGGAGTACGACACCTCGATCCATTGTGATGGCCCGACACTGGCTGACGCCATTGCGCAGATGCTGTCCGGCGTGGGCATGACGCCAGACACTACCATTCTCCACTCGCACAACTTCTCGCTCGGCAAAAACGCCTCGCTTCCGGACGCGTTGCGGATACTCGCCGCCGCGGGGTACCGGCACCTGCTCCAGGTCCATGATTTCGCAGAGGACTTCCGCCCGTCCAACTACCGCCACCTGATGCGGGCTACTGGATCCCAGGGGCCGGCCGAGTTGGCGGAGCGACTCTACCCGTCCGCCGCGGGAATCCACTATGCCACCTTGAACGGTCGCGACCACAAGATCCTTCTCGGGGCCGGGGTCGATCCAGAGCGGCTGCACCTGCTGTCGAACCCGGTGATCGAGTTCCACGGACTGCCGCCGCGGGACGAGGCCCGCCCACGGGTCTGCCAGCAGCTGGGGGTCCCCGAAGACACGCGGCTAGTCATCTACCCAGTCAGGGGCATCCGCCGGAAAAACGTTGGCGAGTTGCTGCTGTACAGCGCCCTCTCAGGCCCGAGCGTCTGCCACGCGGTGACGCTTGCCCCGGCGAACCCCGCCGAACGGATCTCGTTCGATGACTGGTGCGAACTGGCTGAGGAGCTGTCACTACCCTGCCAGCTGGGCATCGGCGATCCCCCGTCAAGGCAGGGACGCGGCGTCGAGTTCTACGACGCCCTGGCCGCCAGCGACGAGGTCATCACGACGAGCGTCGCCGAGGGTTTCGGCATGGTGTTCCTTGAGGCGTGGTTGGTCGACCGCCCGCTGGTGGGACGCAACCTGGGTCGCATCACCTCCGATTTTACCGAGCACGGGCTGCGACTCGGCGGCCTGACCGACCGGTTGCTGGTCCCTGGTGACTGGTTCGACCTTGCCGCGGCTCGCGAGGAGGTGCTCGATCTGCACCGCTGGGCGTGCCGAGATTACGGCATGGGCGTGCCGGCAGACCCGCCGGAAGACTGGCAGTACGGCCCGGACGTTGACTTCGCCAGCCTGCCCCGGCGGTTCCAGGCCGAGGTCATCCGCCACGTCGCGGCCAACCCGGACGTATCCCGCCAGGCGCTGGAGCGGCTCAACCCCGGACTTGCCGAGCGACTATCGGGCGCCGCGGCCAAGGGGCAACCAGTCGAAGAGAACGCCGCTTGCGTTCGAAAGCAATTCTCGCCTCAGGCGGTAGGCCGCCGCCTGTCGGAAATCTACAACGGGCTAATGAGCGATGACGCGGGCGGGCCGGTAGGGTCCCTGGCCGACGGCGAACACATCCTCCGCTCCTTCCTGCGGCTCGACAGGCTCCACCCCGTTAGGCTTGAGCCGTGACCGGCATCGCCACACGTATCCGGCAGCTCAGCTCCCCGCTCACGCCCCAGCCAACCGGCGTCGATGCGGTCCTGCCGCAACTAACCGGCGTCGGCGCGGTCATGTTCGATGTCTACGGCACGCTGCTTATCAGCGGCTCGGGCGACATCTCGCTCACCAGCGGCGCCGCCCATGGCGACGCCGCCCGCGATGCGCTCATCGCGTGCGGGCTGCCCGCTAGCGTCGACGGTGAGGCGGTGGTGGCTCAACTCAAATCGACGATCCAGTCCCACCACCAACAGTCTCAGAGCGAGCACCCCGAGGTTGAGATCCGCGACGTATGGAGCGAAACGCTCGCCCGCCTCTTCTCACCGCAGGCCGCGGCCGACGCCGACATCGAGCGGCTGGCTGTCGAGTACGAGTGCCGCGTCAATCCGATCTGGCCCATGCCCGGCCTGACCGAAACGCTCGCTGCTATCACTGCCGCGGGCATGCCCGTGGGCATTGTCAGCAACGCCCAGTATTTCACCCCGCCCGGGCTTGCGGCTCTCGGCGGCGGTGATTGGGGCAACCTCGGTATCGACTCCCGACTCTGCGTCTGGTCATATGAGCACCGCGAGGCCAAGCCCGGCCGTTTCCTCTACGACCAGGCCGCCGCGTTGCTCGCCGAGTGCGGCGTTTCCCCCGCCGAAACGCTGTACGTGGGGAATGACATGCGGAACGATATCGCCCCGGCGGCAAGGGTTGGCTTCCGAACCGCCCTGTTCGCCGGTGACGCCCGTTCTCTGCGTCTACGGGAGGGTGATCCGCTGGTCGGAGACACTCACCCCGACGCGGTGGTAACCGACCTGCGGCAGATAATAACGATTTTGTCGCTTGCCGACCGCTGAGAGAGAAGTACATTTTGCGAGTAGACCGGCGTCTGGTCGCCCTTGGCGGAGGGCAGGCTGCGCGTCACCCCGCCTGCCCCCCTCTCCTGCCGCCTGCACCATGCCCGACGACTTCACCAGCCCCAGCCACAGGATAGGATTCGTGGGGACCCGTTTCGCGGGGACCGACGGCGTCTCGCTCGAGGCGGCCAAATGGGCAAAGGTGCTGTGGCACCACCGGCACGTCAGCCACTGGTTCGCCGGAAAGCTCGACACCGACCCCGCGGTCAGCATGCTGGTGCCGCACGCGTACTTCGGGCACCCCGACATCCAGTGGGTGAATGAGCGGGTATTCGGAGTTTCTGCGCGGGACCCCGAGGTGACCCGTCGGATCTTCGCGTTGGCCGAACACTTGAAACGCTCGCTGTACGAGTTCGTCCGCGGGTTCGATATCGAGATACTGATCGTCCAGAACGCGCTGTGCATCCCAATGAACATCCCGCTGGGCGTCGCGCTCAGCACGTTTATCGCCGAGACCAACTTCCCGACCATCGCCCACCATCACGACTTCTACTGGGAGCGCGATCGCTTCGCGGTCAACGCGGCCGGCGACCTGCTGCGGATGGCGTTCCCTTGCACCATCCCCTCAATTCAGCACGTAACGATCAACTCTGAGGCGCAACGCGCCCTGTCGCACCGCCGCGGCGTGTCCAGCGTGCTCGTGCCCAATGTGCTGGACTTCGAGACGCTCCCCCCGGACCTCGACGACTTCAACCGCGACTTCCGTGAGTCGGTCGGCCTCGCGCCCGACGACATCCTGTTCCTGCAACCGACCCGGGTCGTGCCGCGGAAGGGCATCGAGCACGCGATCTCGCTTATCAAGCAGCTGGACAATCCCAAGTGCAAGCTGGTGATCTCGCACGAGTCCGGGGACGAGGGGCACGAGTACCTTAACGCCCTGCGGGAGATGGCCGAACAACAGGGTGTCGACCTGCGTTTCATTCCCGACCGCATCGGCGAAGAACGCGGCGTCAACGCCAACGGCGAAAAGGTCTACCTGCTCGCCGACGCGTACCTGCACGCCGACTTTATCACCTACCCCAGCCTGTACGAGGGATTCGGCAACGCCTTGATTGAGGCCTTCTACTACCGCAAGCCGGTGCTGGTGAATCGCTACTCCATCTTCGTGAGCGACATCGAACCCCGCGGCTTCGACGTGATCACCATGAACGGCTACATGACACGCGACACGGTCGACAAGGTCCGCCGCGTCATCGAGGACAGGGAGTACCGCGAGGCCATGGTCGAGGCCAACTACACGCTCGGCAAGCGGTTCTTCAGCTACTCGGTGCTCCGCCGCAAGCTGCGGGCGCTGGTGACCAACGTCACCGGCATGGACGACCTCTAGCACGCCCCGCCGAGGCGATAGTGCCTAGTCGTAGGGACGATTCGTGGCCGGCCGCGTATCGGGTACAATGAACGGCGCGTCTGCTTCCCGATTCGTCTCCCCTGCGCCGGTGCCGCTGGCTCTATGTCGGTCATCTACATCATGCTCCCGGTCGCCCTCCTGCTAGCGGCGGTTGGCGTGGCAGCGTTCTGCTGGGCCGTCCGCGATGGCCAGCTTGACGACCTCGACAGCGCCGCGGCAAGAATGCTGGAAGACGACGATGACGGCAAGCAATGAGGCGCGTGGCATACCGTCCTCGCGGCTGAATCACCCAACCACGCGACACAGGATCACCAAACCATGCCCTGCTCTCACCTACGTGAGCTTTACAAGCTCTGCGAAGACAATCAACTCCGTCTCAGCGCCGTCGACCTGATCCACATTACGTGTGACCAATGCGGCGAGAAGGAAGTCTGCCCGTCGGTCCTCACCGATGAGTACGACGGCACCCTGCCCGCTCAGGCCGAGGACGCCCAGCAATAGCTGCGGCTACTCGCTCGCGACAATTTCGAAATCGATCGTGCCGTGGCCGATCTTGTCGCCAAGCTGATCCGTGAGAGTCAGCTCCAGCACGTACTCGCCGGGGTAAATGCCTTGCGGCAACGTGATCCCGTACTGGATGTGGAAGTCCCGCCTGCGCGACGCGCAGTAGTCGTTGACCACGGGCACGTCGCCGCCATCGACACGGGCGCCGTGCTGGTCGAGCACCTGGTAGCTGGTTGCGAGCGAGGTGTGCTCTCCCTGCGGTGTGGTGACCGTCTTGAAGTTGGCCACCTCGGCGTAGATCTTGACTTCGCCGCCGGGGCGGAACTTGGCGTGCTCAAGCGGCTGGTAGGCGCCAAAGCCGTAGACCTCCTCGCAGAACCTCAGGTGCCCCACCGTCAGGCTGCCAAGCTGCTCGAGCGACGTCAGCGCGTTCCGCAGGTGCAGTCCTCCGGCGGCCGCTCGGCGGCGGACCTCGGGTTGCGATTGGTTGTCTAGTAGCGTGCTGACCGCAAGGAGCTGGTGCGACCAGTACTGTTGTTCCGTGGCAGTCAGCCCGGGAACCGAAGCCGCCGCGCCGTCCATGTTCCCGGCGGCGAGCTGCAGCAGCCGAAGCCGCAGGTGCTGATACGCCTCGTCGATGCTCTGCGGGCGTTCATCAAGCTGTCCGGTTAACTGGTCGATCGCCGCCTGAAGTGATTCATCCCACGTCTGAGGAGTCGCCGCAGAGTTCGCTGCAGGGGTTTCACTCCGCAAGTCGACGAGCGGCTGCTCCTGCTGGGAGTCGTCCAGGATTGCGGCGGCGCCGTCCGCGTATCGAGTCGACAGGGGCGTCGCCGCCGAACCCTGGTGGGCCACATCCACCGCATTGGTCTGCGTGAGCTTGGGGTCGAATCGGCGTGTGTCGACGCCCTGCTCAGCCTGGCCGTCGGCGGGCGGCAGCTCCGGCTGCGCAGGCCAGGTTCCGGGCCTCTGTGGGAGCGGCGCGCTGGCAGCGGAAGGCGTGGCGGGAGAGCTTGAGGTGGCTTGGTGCGCGGACGGCGTGTCCCTACCGGTCTGCTGACTCGAAGCCTGCATCACGCTGGTCGTGGCCGGCTCGCCCGCAATCTGCCGGTGATACTGCATGGTTGAGCGCATCCGCATGACAAGGCCCTCCCAATGCGCCGGGTCTGATTCGTAGAGCTGCGTGACCAGCCGCTGCTGAGCCGCGGGGTCCTCCCTGCCGATCTCCTGCAGGTCGCCCAGCACAGCGGCAAACGCCTGCTCGCGGGTCGGCTCGACGAGCGGCCCAGCATTCTCCAGGACGGGCTCCGACACCGGCGTACGCCCCGCCACATTTGGTGGGTCTAACTGGCCGGTAGTCCCTTTGGCGAACGACCTCAGCGAAGTCTGACAGCCAGACACGAACAGCACGGTCAGGCAGATAACGGTTGTCAGGCTGACACGTGACATAGAACGCGAACCATACGGACACGGTGGGCTGATAGCACGGGGCCGCGGATGGTATGACATGCTCGCTGGGCGGGCAACGTCACTTGCCCCTTGCGGCGGAGGGACGATGCAATGCTAGCGTGACAACCCCACTAGCCCGCGCGGCGGTCGTCGGCCGCCTTGCTGAGGCGCACAATCAGACGCTCCAGTTCGGTTCGCCCCCGCCCGGGTGTGCTATTGTGACCCTTCAGCGCCAAGTCGGAGTCGAGCAGCCACTGGTCGAGCCGCGCCGCCCGGGCCCGGCCGATCTGCTTGAGCTGCCGTTCGGCGTCGCCGAGCTTGAACCTCATGACTCCCGCCCGCTCCAGGGCGTCTCGCAAGGAGGTGCGGCGGCCGTTCCGTTCTGCTTGCTCGATCAGGCACGCGGCGGCCGAGAACTTCCGCAGCGACGACGCCACCTGCGCCATGAGACCGATCGGCTGCTCGCCCGCGCGGAGCAAGCGGTCGAGCTGACCGAGGGCATTCGGCGCGTCACCATCGGCGATCGCGTCGATCATGTCCCAGGTCTTGCGGGTCCGCCAGCCGCCGACGTGCTTGCGAACCAGGTCAGCGTCGATCTCGGCGCCCTCGCCTGCCAGCAACGCGAGCTTGCCGATCTCCTGATCCATCACGCCCAGGCTGAGTGGCAGCAGGTCGAACAACGCGTCGAGCGCGCCGGCGTCGATCGGTGAACCGTGGGTCTGCTTCGCCCGTTGCGCAAGCCACTTCTTCGCCGATCGCTGAAACTGCCCCACCTCCGAGCCACGTTCGGGTATTTGGCACTTGATCACCAACCCTTTACCCACCTGCGCTTTCGCCAAACGCGTGTTCGAGGGCCAGGTCTTCACGTCTAACACCAATGTGCCGGCGTGGCGGTCCTTGGCGGCGTAATCCTCTAGCTGCGGTCGGAACCGGGTGACAAAGGGATCGGCGTCCTCAACCACAGCCGCCGAGGCGCCGCCAAACAGCGAAACGCTTGTCAGCGCATCCGCGACGTCACGCCAGTCGCACTCACGACCGGCGTACACGCTGCACGCCAGGTCGTTCCCCTCAGACAGCCGCTCGCGAATATTGTGCAGCACCTCTCGTTTCAGGAACGGCTCATCCCCCACAACGGCGACCACCGCGCCCGGCTCATGCGTGCAGGAGTCCAGCAGGTAGTCGAGGCCGGTGAGGGCTGGTGGAGATTTCTTGCTCAACGCGTTTAGTGGCCCCCGGATTGCGGACCGCCCCTTTGCTGCTTGCCTGAAGAAACGGTCCCCAGAGGGCCCTGCTGCTAGCAAGAGTCTACCGCGCAGGCCCTGGGCTATTGAAGCGGCCGGGCGTGACGGATCGTGCCGGAGGACTCTGGCAAGCGGACTTCCACCGCCTGCGGCGTCTGATCGACGCCGATGTTGCCCGCCTGGTCACGGGCCTCCAGACGCACGTACAACCGGTCGGGCAGATGCCGTTGCAGCCGCCACGAGTAGCGGCCGCTGTTCGGCAGGTTCGACGCGATCGGCATCCAAGGACCGCCCGGCTGGGCGGCATACAACAGCGAAATCGGGCGGTCCGACAGGTTGGCGTCACCGGCCTGCCAGGTAACGTTCAGGTGGTCTGCGAAGTAGCCATCCGGCTGTACGGCGTTGGTGATCGCCGCGTTCGGGCGCGAACGGTCTACCTCGACGTAGACGTCCGGCTGGTCACCAGCCCGGGGCGGCTCGCGGTCCAGTCCGCCGACGCTCTGGACCAGTATCGCGAACCCGTACAGCCCGTCGGCGGGCGCCTGGATGTCCACGGGGCTGCGTTGGTCGGTGTCAATGGCGAAGCGTCGCCAGGTGGCGCCGCGGTCTTCGGTGCCCCAAACCTCGACCTTCGATACGCCCCACCGCCCCACCGAGTGAAGATCGTACTGCAGCTCAAATCGATCCGAGTTGACCAGCAGCCGCTGCGGCCCCACCCGTCCACCGCCGGCGACCGGCAGGTCCTGCGGCGGCGTGCTGGACGCGTAGCGGAACGGGCCCGCCGCGGAATCGGCTGGGGACACGGGCGGTGTGTTGGTCGCAACACTCGGTAGCGGCGTGTTATCGGGCTGCCACACCTGAGCGGGCGGCGGCGCTGCGGCCTGCCAGCCGGCGCCGGGGTTAGGCCCCGGCGCACCGTCCCCCGATGCGTTGATCTGCGGCGCCGGGGGGACGAAAGCCGTGCTACTCGTAAACGGGTCGGCCGGCAGGCCCGCGGACGGTTGCATCGGGCCCGCGTAGCCGTGGGCGGCGCCCAAAGTGGTCGACGCAGCCAGCGCGGGCACGCCCCGCGACGCCCCGTAGGGCGCTGCCGCCATCACTCCGGCGCTAGCCGGGTTGCCAGCCTTGTCCTTGACCGACACCCGAACCATCACCCCACGTGTGCCTGCCGGCACCACCGCCGACGCGCGGACCGTCGCGCTGCCGGCGAACCCCGGCGTCGTGGTGGCCTGTATGTTCTGCCAGCCGCCGGTCATTGGATCTTGGTACGCAACGACCACCGCATTGGAATCGAGTTGCGGGTCTGCCGCCGTGGCCTCGATGGACAACCGCCCATCGGGAGTCAGGGTCGCGGTGGTGATCTGCACGGTGGGCAGCTGGGTGTCCACGACCACCCTCAGTTCCGGACGCATCGGGCCGGCGGGCCACCTGGCGCCGGCGGCGTCCGAGGTGCGGATGGCGAACCAGTACTCGCCATCTCCCGTCGCGCGGTACATGAACGACTGGACATCGGGCCGCGCGCGGGTAACCTCTTGCCAAGTTTGTCCCTGATCGGCCGAGTAGTAGAGGATCACCTCACGGACCGCCGACCGATCGGATCCGCCGGACCATTTGTACGGGATGACAAACACATCCTGTCCCCACACGACGGTATCGCCCGGCGACTGCGCAGTAGCCGCCGCCGCGAACCCCACGCCAACAGTCAACCCCACAAGCATCAACAGACGCCTGAGCGGGGGGACGCGGCGGATGGGTCGGTTCCGGGGCATGGGTTTCTCCGGAGGCCCGCGACCGGGTGATTGGGACGACGGGTTGGCGCGCGGCGGTCCTCCACTCGGTTTATCGGCCGCCGGCCGGCCGCAGCTGCTCAGGGCCCTGAAGTGCGAGGTTATTGCGATTTGGCGATCGAGGCCGGACAGGTAAAATGCAACGGCTGCCGCGGGGGCGAAGGCAATTTCTGGACTGTCGCCCGGCGCGCCGCCATAATTGTTGAGGACAGGGTCGAGGTTCAGGTTCCTGCGATCAGACTGCGGTCGTGGAAGCGGGCCCGACGGCTAGCAACCAAACAAGGGCCCTCAGGGCGGCGCCCTGCTGCACGACGTGTTGGTTCGATCATGGCGATTCATCCGGTGGCGGAAGCGGCGTTGCTGTTTTCGCTCGTGCTTGCTGCGGCCGGCGTTCTGTTTTGGCTTGTGAAAAGATTGCGCGATGTTGAGGCTGACGACACGCCAGCCGCCAGCGACATGCTCAGTAACTTCAGGGAACTGCACTCCCGGGGTGGGCTGAGCGACGAGGAATACCGAACGATAAAGACGAAGCTAGCTGCTCAGCTGCAGGACGACATGCAAGTCGACCTAGACACGCTGCTGGCAGAAACGCGGGAGGAGAGTCGGAGTTCGTCTGCTGCGGGTGATGCGGGCCACGGCGCCCTGTGACGGTGGGTTCGCCTGGCGAGTCCTTGCGTCGCTAGCAAGGTGCTGTGGCGAAAGATTATCACCCGGGCCGATGAACGGATCCCATCAGCGTTGCGTACCGAGATGCGAACACTGCTCGAAAGAGTGCGTGGACAAGGAAGCCCCGCCTGACGTGTGGTCGCGGCTCGGTAGACAAAGCTTTGGCGAATCGACGCAGGAAAGTCCCTACGGCCTCTTGGGCCATGCGGGGCTTGGCGTTGTGAGCCCGAACAGTGTCTGCCGAGATGCGGACATCGAGCGGCACCAAAGGATAAACCGCGGAACTCGCCGGCCACACTGGCCGGCGCCCACCGCAGTAACGGGGAAGGAGTTGTTTTATGCCCTCTGGACGAGAAGTGACCGGCGCCCGCCGCGGCGGCACCTCGAAGAAAAACGCGTTCTGCTCATTCTGTCGCAAGAGCTACCGCGATGTCGGGCCGCTGGTTGAAGGACCGGGCGACGTCTACATCTGCGGCGAGTGCATTGAGCTCTGCCAGTCGATCCTGGACCAGGAGCGGAAGCGGCGAGGGGCGAGCAAGCAGCTCTTCTCCAAGGTCCCCACCCCGCGAGAGATTGTCGCGGAGCTGGACGACTACGTCATCGGGCAGGATTCCGCCAAGCGGGTCCTGGCGGTCGCTGTGCACAGCCACTACAAGCGGCTGATGGCCGCCGAGGACGAGGGCGATGTCGAGATCGACAAGTCCAACATCCTGCTGGTCGGACCGACCGGTTGTGGCAAGACCCTGCTGGCCAAATCGCTGGCCCGCAGCCTGAACGTCCCCTTCGCCATCGGCGACGCCACGACCCTCACCGAGGCCGGCTACGTGGGCGAGGACGTGGAGAATTTGCTGCTCAAGTTGCTGCACGCCGCCGACTTTGATGTTGAGGCCGCCCAGCGTGGCATCCTCTACATCGACGAGATCGACAAGATCGGCAAGACGAGTCAGAACGTCAGCATCACGCGTGACGTCTCTGGCGAGGGTGTTCAGCAGGCGCTGCTGAAGATGCTCGAAGGCACCACGGCCAACGTGCCCCCCCAGGGCGGCCGGAAGCACCCCGAGCAGCAGTACATCCAGATCGACACGACCAACATCCTGTTTATCTGCGGCGGCACCTTTGCCGGCGTTGAGGACGTGGTCCGCAAACGTCTGGGCAAACGCTCGATTGGCTTCAGCCAGGACCGCGAACAGACCGATGAGATGAGTCTGTCGGAAGCACTGGCCGAGGTCACCGCGGACGACTTGGTGGAATTCGGGCTGATCCCCGAGCTGGTCGGCCGCTTGCCGGTGGTCAGCTCGCTGCGTCCGCTGCCCGAGGAGGCGCTGGTGCGTGTGCTCACCGAGCCGCGCAACGCCCTCACCAAGCAGTACCAACGTCTGTTCGCAATGGAGGAGGCCGACCTGCAGTTCACCGATGAAGCCCTGCGGTCCATCGCCCGTCGCGCCCACCAGCGTGAGACCGGCGCACGAGGACTACGGTCGATCATCGAGGACGTGATGCTCGACATCATGTTCGACCTGCCGGAGCAGCCGCGGGGCAGCAACTACCTGGTCACCGACGATGTCGTCGAGGGCCGCACAAAGTTGTTCGCCGACTCGGAACCCGCCAAAAGCGCTTAACGACTCGAAACTGACAACCTGACTCAACTCCTGGGCGACGTTCAAACCTGGGGCGGGGGCGCTAGACGCTGCCGCCGCCGGGGGTCAAGTCGCCTGGAAGAAACCGGGCCCGGGCGGCACGCATCAATGGGAAGCGTCGCCCGGGCCCGTTTGAGTTTCTGAGCCCGAACGCGTCATCGAAACCCACGGCGGGAGCCGTGGGTTTTTCCTTTTGAAAATTCCAGTTCGGCGGCGAAAACCCACCGCTGCCGCGGAGGGTTGACTACGGGTGCAGCTCTCGAAGCTCTTCGGCCATGATCTCCAGCGCCTCGCGGACGGTCTGCTCGCTCTGCGAGAATGTCAGCCGCAGGCACTGACGGCGGTGGGGCCAATCCTCGTCCTCGGGCAGGCCGAAAAAGAAATAGTCGCCGGGGACCACCAGCACGTTCTTGGCCTTGAGCCGCTCGTAAAGTTCGCGCGACCCGATCGGGAGTTCCGGGAGCCACAGCCAGAGGAAGAACGCCCCTTCGGTCAGGTGCACGCGGTAGGGGAACGAGTCGCCGAACGCGTCGGCCAGAATCTGGCGGGCGAGCCCGGCCCTCCGCTCGTAGAACGGGCGGATCACCTCGCGGCTGAGGGTCAAGGCCTCGCCGGAGTCGAGCAGCGGGCCGACAATCGCTTGCCCCAGGTTGTTGTTGGCCAGGCCGATCACGGCGGTCATGGCCGAGATCCGACGCGCAATCTCTGGACTCGCCACCACAATGGCGGTCCGCGTGCCGGGCAGCCCGAGCTTCGATAGGCTGTAGACCAGAATCATTTCCTCATCCCATGGCGGCGGGCTGGCCTCGGTGAAGATGGCGCCGGGGAACGGCTGGCCGTAGGCGTTGTCGACGATCAACGGGCAGCCCTCGGCCTTGGTCAGCTCGGTCAGGCGGGCGAGCTCCCCATCAGACAGGACGTTTCCGCTGGGGTTAGTCGGCCGGCTAACGCAGACCGCGCCCGCCCCCTGCAGGTCGAGGCTGTCGAAGTCAACGTGGTACTTAAAGTCGTGGCTGCCGATCTCCTCAATCCGCGGGTGGTGCGTGCGGAATAAGCCGGGCGTGGTCCCCTGGTTGGCGTAGCCGATGTACTCCGGCGCGATCGGCAACGCGATGGGCTGCGTCGCGTCGCCCAGCAGGGTGAACAGCTGGAAGAATGCCGCCTGCCCGCCCGCGGTGATCGCGATATTGTCTTCCGAAAGATCCCAGCCAAGCTCCCTGCCGAAGCACGCCGCGACGCTTCGTCGGAACGAGGGACTGCCAGACGGCGCGTCGTAGACTCCCAGCACCTGGTCTACCTGAGCGGGGTCGGCAAGCATTTCCGCGAGCCGTCGCCGCCAAACCTCTTGCGCAGCGGGGATCGCGGCCGGCGCGCCGCCTCCTAACATTCGCATCTTGCCCGCCCCCGGCCCCGTCATGGCGTGACCCAGGTCGTCCATGAGTTCGAAGATGCCGGCGCTAGATGAAAGACGATTTCCTGCGTTGGAGATCCTTAACGGCATGTCATTCGCTTTGCTATAGTCACGGTTGTTCCCCCGCCGCTCACGCGTCCCAAGACACTATGGGAAATGGTAGCCGTCGGGATTGCAGCCGCCCAGGCGGGCAGGACCGCACAAGAGGACGTGTCGGTTCCGCACAGTTGAGGCCCTTGGGCCGTGCCCCGCATCAGCCCCGTCACCCTTTGCTACCACGAGGAAGGTACCTGCGATGGAAAACTTCGACATTAATCAGCACGGAATCACCGTCCAGAACGTCAAACGGAACATGTCGCCCGCAGTGCTGTACCAGGAGGCCCTGCGTCGCGAGCCCGACTCCGTCATTTCAGACCGCGGCGCGCTGGTGGCTTACTCCGGCGAAAAGACCGGTCGCAGCCCGAAGGACAAACGCGTTGTCGAGCACGCGGACTCCAAGGACAACGTCTGGTGGGGCCCGATCAACGTGCCGATCGACCTCGACACGTTCGAGACCAATCTCGAGCGCGCCCAGGACTACCTGAACACGCGGGACCAGTTGTACGTGGTCGACGCGTTCGCCGGGTGGGACCCCAACACGCGGCTGAAGGTTCGCGTCATCTGCTCGCGGCCGTACCACGCGTTGTTCATGCACACCATGCTGATCCGCCCCGCCGCCGAAGAGCTGGCGGAATTCGGCGAGCCCGACGTGGTGATCTACAACGCCGGTTCGTTCCCGGCCAACAAGCACACTCGGGGGATGACCAGCAAAACCAGCGTGGACGTCAACCTGGAGAGCCGCCAGATGGTGATCCTGGGCTCCGAGTACGCCGGCGAGATGAAGAAGGGCGTGTTCACCATGATGAACTACTTTATGCCCGCCCAGAACGTGCTGTCCATGCACTGCTCGGCCACCGCCGCCAAGGACAGCGAGCAGTCTTCCCTGCTGTTCGGCCTGTCGGGCACCGGCAAGACGACCCTCTCGGCCGATCCCAAGCGGCGGCTCATCGGCGACGACGAGCACTGCTGGAACGATGCGGGCGTCTTCAACATCGAGGGCGGTTGCTACGCCAAGGCGATCGACCTGACGCCCGAGAGCGAGCCGGATATCTTCCAGGCCCTGAGGTTCGGCAGCGTGCTCGAGAACGTGGTCTACGATGAGGACACCCACCACGTCG